AAGGTATGTTATCAAAAGTCTCTTGAAAATGCTTTCCTTTGTTTTACACGCGAACATGTTGAATCGGAAGGATGGTCAACTTCGCAGTCAAGTCGTGAACCACCCTCATAGAGCGGGGTGGTAGAATGCCTACATCCATTCTTCCGGAAGTTTGCCTTCCTCAAAAGACCTTCGGAATATGCTACACAGTGGTTCGCAGGTGACTTGGCAGGCTTAATTTACAGTAATTCGGTCCGTTCTTCGACTAATTAAAGGTCCAGATCCCCAGTTATGGAGGAGGGTGGAAGAAGAGGTGAAGATATTGTTTGACGAAGGGGTGGAACTGCAGCAAAGGAATCAGCCCTTCGGATAAATACGGATTATAAGTAATTGAAAAGAAGGAATGCTTTGACGTGGTTGTCGCTCCTATGTAAATATAAACTATCTTGGGTGCTCAAAAGAGTTTTTGTAGTATATTCAGCTCACAGTTACTTCACAGCTTGGTAGTCTCACTTCAAAAATTATGTTGCTGCCTTTATTTCCATGAGTTCTTATTGGAGCCAGTCAGTATGTAACGCTTCCAAAGGTTATTTCTATTCTAAAAGACTCCGGCAAAATTTGAGTTTATCCATTTTGGGTGGTTTGTCAATGTCTTTCTCCAAAGAGGACAGTCGAAGTGAACATTTTTTTCAGTTCTGAGCTAAAGTTCGTCCAATGATTATTTGTTCCACCATGCAGTTCACATTCCTAGGATAACTCTGACATTTTTCTTTATATAAGCGGCATTTTCCCCTCCATTTCGAGGAGTCCTGCATTACATAGCAGAGATTAATCAAATTGTAGGACAATGTGGGCGCTTGACACTACTGATGTTAGGTCCTTCGGTTCGAGCAGTTGCTCTCCTTCCATATCCAACTGTTGTCTTTCTGACAGAGAAACCACTATGTCGCTCACGGTACCATATTATGGAAAGTCATCTGGTAGACCCTGCGCACTCCATGCTTGGCATTCTATCCCAGGAGCATTAAAAGCACCAAGGATGATTATATCGTTCTTCTGGCTGGCTTCGTACAGATCAGCCATGAGAATCCGATCGTGGTGAGGCATTTGGTTAGGGTGACGATGTGCTTTCGATAATGTTAGCGGCCGAATTTAGATTGCGGAAATAGTAATACTTATCACCTCCACATTCTCTGATAGATTAAGTACTTCGGTGATGGTGGTTAGGTTACAGGGGGCATAAACTCTAAGCTCTCGTCCATTGTTCGGTCAATCATTTCATTCAATGCACATGCGAATTTAAGCGCACATTCAAAGAGGCAGAAGTTATGTTGGACTGAGGTTAGGCTGCTTTTGCGACCTGTGAAAAGATTTAGTTCGAACATCAATTGTGGGGTGGCTGGCGTGATATCAGTAAACTGTGCCGGTAAATTGGCAGATTGGTATGCAAGGAAAGGTTGTTTCTGTTGAAGTGATTTCTAGTAAATTTTGAGGCGGATCAAATCTTCCAGAAAGGATTTTATTGTTCTCGGACTCGATGATGGAATGGAATGCGGAGTGCATCGTACGTTGGGAAGTTCCATTGAGTTTGACACAGAAGTAAGCCGTGGGCGTTCGTATGTCTTTTCTATCGATTAGGATGGCCAGCCCGTGAATATTTCCTCCCTCAAGTATGTTTGTTTCCCTGCTGGCTAAAGGCCGCAATAAGACATTTTATTTTCTCTAATGCATACGCATTTAAAGAGAGCAAATGTAAACGCTTTTCTTCTGCTTGCTATTCAACCTTTCGAAAATTAAATTTTACCCTTTCCTCTATAGTTAATTTTTATTCAGACAGCATTTTGTATTACGCTGTTTTTACTGTGACTGTTTTCTCAACCCCAGCTGCAAGTAAATTGGAATCCCAAAAGTTGAAATTTGTCGCCAAGGCTCGGGAGGTTTGTCTCTTTCAGTCTAGCGTCTCTCCCCAAATTTATGTTAAATACACCAAATTGTAAAGTTTGTTAGGCACTTGTGAATATTCCGGCCAATCGAGTCAACATATCAAGTGGTCCATGAATTTTCCGAAATCTAGACACAACTTCCCGAGGTTTGAACTTCGTATGCGGCGTAGCAACATACGAGATGGCTAAATGACCTATTAACAGCGCGCAATTCATATAGTCGCGAAAATTCAAAAGCCCACCAAACTTTTTCGACTACGAACATTTATCCCAACAACTTGTAGCCCTAAAGGGGCCCTCTTTTGAGGTTTTACGTATAGATTGATGTGATGTCACTCGTTTTTTTAATTTTTTTAATTTCGAACAAGAAACTATGTTTGACTTTTAAGCGGGCTAAAATGTATTTTACATGACTTTTAAATTCTAGCTTTTCAGGATCTTTTCAAGCAGTTTTTGCCTCAGTAATTCGGCATAAAGTTTGAAGAAGTCATTATTATTAATAAGGAACGTAGGAAGTGCATAGTTAACCCTAAATTTTCGGGAATTTAATTTATATAAAATGCCATCAAAAGATATCCAAATGCTTATAATTTGGCATTTTAATCAATCTTTAAATGATAAACGCAGAATTATTAGTTTAACTGTTGATAAGCAGTGTGAAGAGGCGTCAAATCTCGAGACATTCTGTCATAGGAAAAAAGTATAGCCAAATATTTTATGACAGTCCGTCGCCGATTGAACACTGCTTTAATATATTTTCTGACCTCTCTTTAACATGAATGCATTTGTGCACTTCAGAAAACTAAGAAAGCATTACTTAATGACAGTTAATTTTCATTTTTATCAAATGACGTTTTAAATTCCAGAAGTCGTGGGACTATTTAAATCCATATACAATTTAATTAAATTATACGAGCAACAACAAATTCATCATATCTCTCAATCAACTGTCTGCGTGCTCTAGATCCATTAGATAATTCACGCAAACAATTCACTGAAGAACTAATCAAATCATAAATTAGTTTTTAAATTAATTTAGGATCTAGAAAGTTCTCTCTCCGTTCTATTTTTTAAATTGTGCTTTAAAGTACAATAACGCATAAATGTATGTGTAACTATGGAAAAATACATATCCTCCAAAAAGTAAAATAAGAATACTCAGCCTGCATGCAAATAGTCTTTATATTTTATAAACAACTGACGTGCGTTACTTTTAATAGAGAAAGCCTTAAACAGTGACTTATATCGACTTAAATTTTCAGGAGTTGACCGTAGAAGGATTTGACATGCACACGTTTAATATTTCAGGGAATATTGCTTTAAATGGTTTCCGATCACTCACTCAGTTGTTAGTTGGATTAAAAAATGCTGATATAATGAACAGTATGATAGCGGTTATTACTGTACTCCGCTGCTCATGGAAAATATGTTGTCATTGGAAGTTACTTGAAAACAACTTCCAGATCAAGAAGCATTTGGAATCGAAACACGCTCACTGCTTTCTGAAAACGTTCTGTTTTACAGCTAC